TACTAGTAGCGATGCCCTTGTTACTAGTAGCTTCTAGCTACTAGTAGAAATGCAGTAGCCACTAGCAGTGTCCTTGCCACTAGTAGGGATGCCCTTGTTACTAGTAGCTTCTAGCTACTAGTAGTAATGCCCCAGCCACCAGCAGTGTTCCTTGCTACTAGTAGCGATGCCCTTGTTACTAGTAGGGATGCACTCCTGGTTCATATTCTTAAACTTGGTTGGCCATTTTGTGCTGGGTTTGTTTTTGCAAAGGGCATCATTTGCTAGTGGCACTCTGTGGTTGTTTCAGCTAAGGGTGATTTGGCTGCCTAGAAGTGAAACTTCTCTTTTCAAAGTCACTTTGGGTCCAACAAGTGAGACTTCTTTTCTTTTCCTTTTGCATCTTTTCTTTTCCTGTCTCATTGTTCTTTTTCCTTTCCACTTTATTCTGTGTCCTGTCCTCTTTTCCTTGTCTGGTTCCTTTCTCCTTCCTTCTGTTTTCTGCTGCCATGTCCCGGTCTTAGCCGTTGTTTCCTTTTCCTTGTCCTCTCATTTTCTGTGCCTTTCCTTTCCTATTCCTTGTGCCTTTATCTTTTTCCGTGTCCTGTTCCTTTCCCTTTCCTCTTCTGTTTCCTCTCCTGTGTTTTTTTCCCTTTCTGCTTCCATGTCTTGTTCTTTACCATTTGTTTCCTGTTCCTTTTTCCTCTTCCTTGTCCTTTCCTTTTGTTTGTCTATTCTGTAAAAGCTGTGGCATTCAAAGTGTGCCCCTTTTTTTGCTATCTTTGGCTGCATTCTATCTTCCAAGAAATCCTGGTGTTTACCTGCAGTTTCGAGATTTGTCAACATTCACACTCTGGACGAGCATTCTAACTGGTAAGACCCTAGCATTCCAACTGTTCATTTCTCTGCACTAAAAAATCATGGGAACGGGATTCTTACATCCGATGGAAAAAATCTTGAACAAAAATAGGCATTCTATCTTACAGTCCGCCGGTATAAACGTGACAAATTACCCAATGACTCCGTCGATTGAGCTGAACTGTGCTTGGAGGACCTCTGGATGAAAGCCGATTATGTCCTGCTCTTAGCACATTTTACCTTGAGAGGGGGCACAGACCTACATACCTACATACCTACACACACACACACACACGCACACTTTCTTTTTCCAGTCCTACTCTTTTGCGCTGTTATCTCTTCATCTCTTCAGGTCTTAAGCTTGTTCTACTTGCGCCAGGTGCCGCTGCTCGGGCTGCGATTAGACTCAGACTGACGCCAACTTATTGCCCCAAACAGGTGACGAGCGGTCAGCCCCTGCGTGATTGCAACTTCAATGGGGCAGTCAGAAGCTGAGCTTTGAGGGCTTCCACAGGGGCTCTGATGTTTTCTGATGTCGTTTTGTCCCAGAGTCAGCTTGGTGCAGTGAAGGGGCTTTGGATGGTGTGGGGCGATTTCTGAGTGTCTGTGTGTGTGCTCCAGGCCATGTTCGCTCCCTCGAAGGTCTACCGTGGCCACGTTGGGACCTTGGGGAGTGTTCTGGATTTCGACCTTTGAGGGGTAAGTAGCGATGCCCTTTGCTCCTAGTAGCGATGCCAGGAGCCCCTAGTAGCTTCTTGTTCCTAGTAGTAAGGCCAGGAGCTCCTAGTAGCGAACATTGCTCCTAGTAGGGCCAGGAGCCCTTGTAGTGTCCTTGCTCCTAGTAGCGATGCCCTTTGTTCTAGTAGCTTGGGTAGCTATTAGACAGAGATGCAGAGCTCAGGCTTCTTCAAGGAAGCTCCCCCCTGCACTCGGGGGAGCTTCTTTGAGGAATCGATTTGGTTCCTAGATTTTCAGGAAAACTTAACATGTCTCACGTGTGTGGAGGATTGAGACCTTGCATTTCGAAAACCGTTGCCTGTCAGACTGTCGTCGCAGAGCCATGAGTTTTCTCAAAAGCCTGTACACGGTTTTAGAATTGGAGTCCTCTGAGGAGGAGGCAGAACAGCCTTCCAAACGAGCTCGATGTGAGGAACCTGAAGCATCCGCCAGCCCCAGCCATGGAGCTTCCACGAGCGCTTCGCCTTTGTTTTTGAACAAGCTTGAGGAGTCTGAAGATCACAGTGGCTTGATGGATTCGGAAGAGGGTAGGAGGGTAGCAGGGTTTCATGGATTTATGTAAGGGGTTTCAACTGTGAGTCTTTCAAGATTGGACTTGAGGTGACGAACTCAGCTTGCAACAGATCTTTGAAGAACATCCCCTTGGAAACTCAGCCGCGCTTCATGCGGTCCTTGTGAACTTCATGATTGACTTGCCATGGGTGTGCCGGGAGTGTCCATCTTTGCTGTCCGTCCCTCGCCTGACTGTCGTTTATGGGGATGGTGGTGATGCCAGCAGAGAGATTCAGAAGCAGCGGATTCAGAGAGATCCAAAGTTTCTCACGAAACTGCATTCACCTCCACTGCCTTTGCAATGGGGAACGCATCACAGCAAGATTGCCTTGCTCATCTATGAGAACTGCTTGCGCGTTTGCATCCGCACTTTCAATGATGTTTTCCCTGATGTTCATCAAAAGTCCAACGCCATGTACCTTCAAGACTTTCCTTTGTTGGAAAGCAATGCTGCAACGGCTGCAACTGACAACTTCGGCGCCGATTTCCGACAGCAACTCTGCAAGTATTTTGGAGAATCTGGAGGTTTTGACCCTTCAGAGCTTGAGCGCTACGACTTCTCATCTGCTGCTGTGGCCATCGTCTCTTCAGTTCCAGGTTATCACTCCGGTCCCGCTCTCTTGGATTGGGGCAGTTTGCGTTTGAGAAAGCTGCTGGAACGGCATGCGAAGCCATTGAAAGACGTGGAGGGCGAAGGGATTATTTGCCAGGCAAGCTCCTTTGGGAACCTTCCCAAGAAATGGCTTGAGGACCTTCATGGGCATATTTGCCGCAGCTTTTTTTGACGAGTTTAGTGAAACAAACGTCTTGAATGATAGGTGGCCTGATAGGTTCAGAATCTACCACTTTATGCCTTGTACTAAGATTGCAATCTTTATCCTTTGCATCGCAGTTTTCCCTTTGAAGGACTTCCACAGCAGTCTGTCTGCCTCACAGCAACTAGGGCCCAAGCCACCCTTGCAGATGGTCGCTCCCACATTGTCACAGATCCGGGATAGCATTGAAGGCCACCAAGCCGTCGAGATTTGGAGATTCAGTGGGTCTTGAGATGGCCTGCTTGTGTTGGAACTTAAGTTTCCCCAAAACATTAGAGCATGAGCTATCCTGCGTCCAGCAGATAGAAGCTAACTTGTAGCCTAGTAGCGAACTAGTCTCCTCTCCCTTACTTAATCAAGTAGGTAGTCTCTCCTTGATTAAGTGGGGAGGCGCGGCCTACCGGCCCCCCACTCCAAAAAGATATGCAAATTGTTCCCAATTTTCGGAGTGCAGGCTGGGTCTCCAGCGTGGCCTTGTTCATCTCCAAGGCCACGGTCACCAGCTACCAGGCGCTCTGGCGCCGCTGGGGCCCGAAGACTGGAGATCCGCGATGGAAGTTGAGGGCTCAGGCCTTGTTAAGTCAGCTTTGGAGTATGTGAGTTTGTTTTGGTAGATATTTGTAGCCATCATTAGCCATTGACCAGGCAATGACGCTCTCCAAGTGAGAGAAATCGGTTTGCCTGACAGGCAATGCCACATGTGAAGACTTATTGTCGCTATGGCCTGGGCCCCAGGGGGCCTCGCCTGTCTTGGCTCTACATCGGCTCCCACAACCTCTCGAAGTCTGCTTGGGGCGAGGTGCAAAAAGCGGGCACGCAGATTTGTGTGCGCTCCTATGAAATGGGAGTTCTATTCTTCCCTTCCAGGTTAGCGCTGCTCGAAAGAGATCCAAAGAAGGGCTTCTTCTTGAAGTCAAAAGCCTTATCAAATTCTGCAAATCCTTCAGACTTTGTTCTGGTGCCTTCACCACTCAGTCTGCCTGGTGACACTGGTGATGGGACTGTGCCCATCGCCCTCCCCACGGCGGTACCGCCAGCCGCTCCGCCTGAGCCCAACGACCCCATCTGGTCGCGTGACTGGGCGCCGGAACTCTATGCGCGTAGCGGTCTCGACCGCTTCGGCACTAGCTACGGTGAGCGTGGGGCCGAGTTCTATGGTTACCGGGCCTTGGTGCGGCACAAAAAGGTATGCCTCCAACCTAAGAGCGATGGCCTCCACCCTAGAAACGATGGTGAACTGGGCCGTTGGTACCTAACAACGGTACATAAGCATACCTAAAGCCAGTTATCTTAACAACTCTACTTGGGCACGTTGAGTCGCTACGGATTTTGTTGATGGGTCGCAGACAAGACAAAACTTTCAACCTTGTAGCCCTTTTTCACGTACCATTTGCTTTACTTGTTCAAACTCCCGATACTGATAATGTCCGCCTATTGACCCCTGTCCTAGCACAAGCACTGGTACAATAAGGGCCGAATCTGGGGCTTTGCCGATGCAGAAGCTTGACCCGGGCACTATGCAATACCTAAAACCCAGTGATGCACTGGAACCAGCAGAGTGCACAGGTTTGACATGGTTTGACATTGTCAGTCACACACCCAAAGCACCAATGAATCCGATCGGTGAACCTTACTTACAGGTATGGCACATGTGGTGGTGCATGAGCACATTAGGAAACTGCATCATTCTGAGGACACTGTTTGCATCGTCACCAAGGACCTGCTGTTAGCCGCAAGTGACAGCTGCTGTTTCTGAATCCAAGTGTGCTTTGGGCAGGACCCATCAACCACCGCCCTATCGGAGGAGGGTTATCAGACAACTCTAGAAGAACACGACGCTGAGAAGGCCTGGCGAAGTTTGGTTCGGTACCTGCCTGTTGTCTCGACCCTCAAAATGCTTGACTAGGTGGCCATCTTTGTTCAACGAGAAGTGGAAGACCTTAAGATGCAGGTGGTTTGTCTTTTGGGAAATGCTTGTGCTACTTGAGAATTGTTGAGTCAAAGCCCTTGATTAGACAACGATTCCCAAGGTCACAAACTCCTCAGCTCTGAAGTCATTTGCTGAAAAGCCACCTGCGCACTTCAAAGATCTCAAGGAGTGGTCTTCAAAGATCTCGTCACTTTGTGTCCCTTAGCGCGGATGGTGTGACTTGCAGTGTGGTAGGGATTGCTTTGAGATTCTCCCCAGTTGCTTCGATTAACCACACAATTCAACAGCAATCGAAGACAGTTTCCCCCTCGTGTACCTGGCAGGGTACCATGTATCCATGTATCTGGCTGCAGCAGTAGCACGCATATGGCATTCCTAGATTCTGAGGACCAGCTTTCTCAAATGCCTTGGGTGTGTGGCGGCCCATCAGGAAGAAATTGCTAGGAGGCCCAGAAGGCCAGACGCGCTAAGGCTTAGGCTCCACAATTCAATTGTATGTTCAGCAGAAAGACTCAACATTTCAACATTCTTTGCAGCACGGTTTGCAAATATGATGCTGCGATTATATGTATATGATTGTATACGTATAGTGATGAAACGATGCAAAGCAAATGGATCATGGGCTGGGCTGGTTGTGGAGGCTGGTTGTGTTCTTTTCAGTGGAGAGTTTAAGTTTAGCTGAGTGAGCTTGTTACTGTTTCCTGCCCAGCACCCTAAGATGTGAACCGGTGGCAAGGTACGCCCAATATTGCACTTATTGAAGTACACGCCCACCAAAAGTCAGAATGTTTGCTCCTCCACATGTTGGCTGATTGCTGCTTGAGGTCCAAGTCCGATCAATCCATCTGGCGGTGGTGCCTCTGCCTTGGAGATAGGTGCCCTCTCGGGGTTCGGTAAGGAAGATTGGTCCTGGTAGAGGCTTGTCTGACATAGGTGATATCTCAGGATGTTTAAGTAAGGTTGCAGTTTCAGTCTTAAGCTACAGAGAGTGCCGTCAACTCATTTTGTTTCTTTGTCTACCGATTGGTATGAGAAAAGACATGATCTCTCACAGCGAAAGCTGTTCAGCATGCAACCCGCCCCCGCCTCGAGCCATTTCTCAATACGAAAAGGACGGTGGAGGACGCTACTAGGGGCTCCTGGCATCGCTACTATATAGTAACAAGAAGCTACTAGGGGTAGGCCTTTGAAGGTGGATTCTTCAAAACATTTTTTTGAAACGATTAACTTTCAACAGACGCAGATAGAAGCAGCTCGCAACGTGTCATAACTTCAGAGCTCACTCATGACCGGAGAACCTGAAAACTGCGGTAGATGTCGACCAGACCGGAGGAGCCCGCCTGGCCCCCAAGGGTATCTTCAATCAGTTTTTTCCTCTCTCTGATGGTTCATAGGGTTTTTTTACTGAGATGATGTGCTGTGCTTTTTGAGCTGTTTGGCCATTGCTTCTTGCTCCGCTTCTTTTTGGACAAGACTGGCCTGCGCAGGTTGCCATGTGTATCTCCCAAGCAGCCAAAGGCAGGAAACCATGGAGCAGTTGTGCTGATAAGGAAGATGTGTGTTCATGGAACGTCAAGAGAAGTGCACTTTTTGCATGGATGTTTTAGCTTCATCTCCCTACGTTGCTTGCAGAATCATTCCCAGACTCAAAGAAGTCTGGATGGTCAGCTGCAGAGTGGAAAGACAAGGCGCGGTCAGCCGGAATCAGCTTGGGAGAGTTTGAGTCCGTGTTTGTGTCAACTGCCTCTCCAGGTTGACACCGTTGGCTCCGGGCAAGCTTTCTTGAGCGAGGCGGCAGCCCTACGTTTTTTGCCGAAGAAGCTGTGAGAGGATTCCTTGTGAAAGTCATGCTCAAGATCCACTTGCGGGTCTTGGCTTGCTCTCATGCAACATAGCTTTCGATTGCTGACCTTTTCTCAGGAGGATTCCCTGTGGCGCGAGAATCGCCAGCTCCGATGCGAGGCACTGTTCTGCCCGACTTTGATACAGCAAGACCATTGCTAACTTCTCGAACCAAATCGATTCCTGATTTCCTTCTAGTTGCCTTGATGAACAACTGGCATGTACCTAGCTTCGTCTCTTCATCACTGTCTTTTTGAGGTCCAATCCTGGCAAGAGGAAGCAGCCGCACGGCAGAGGGAGACCACTGAGCTCCGCCTAGAGGCTGGTCGGCAGTGGACACAGGGCTGGAGGGCCGAGTGAGGCCCGTTGGCTGTTCGGGAATTCAACTTTTCAAGTCAGGACACTTGATTGATCAACATAAAAGCATATATGTTGCTCGATCAATGGTCGGACACTTTGCGCAGGTTGTTCTTAATGAAACAGCTTCGTTTATCGTTCCGCTTGCCTTTTGGGAGCACTTTGGCATACCATAAGTCTCTGGACTCGAGATCTGCTGAAACTCAGCCACCACTTTTGGCATCCCGCGGCTGTGCTTTCCTTTCCCTTCAACGTCTGGCAGGTTGCGCAACTTCAAGCAGAGCTGCATGTTGGGGGCTTAGACACCTGAATGTACTAGGAGCAAGAAGCTACTAGGGGCTCCTGGCATCGCTACTAGGAGCAGGGACGCTACTAGGGGCTCCTGGCCGTACTACGAACAGAGCAATGTTCACAACATTCCTCAGATCTTTCGCACCCGCGCAATACTTGGCTTTCACATCACCAAGGCCGAGCGGAACACGAGGCAGATGCTAGCCCAAGCAGAGGCACAGGCAGGTGCCATGTGACTTGCTGGAACAAACAATTTGCTCCTCTCAGGAGTCTTGGAAGATGGCTTTCCTCTATCATCTTCATATTTGGTGGAGTGTTTTATTTTGTGTCGTTGTTGTCATCTGCAAGGGAGGTGCTACTTCCTCTTCCAGTGTTTTCAGGGACAGCTCCTTAGAGAGGCGATGGAAGTTGGCAAAGGTGACTGTGAGTAGCTAACCATAAGAATCTACAAGATCTTTGGGTTATGGCGAGTGGAGCCAAGGCAGCCAAGGAGAAGATGCCTTGTGCCAACCTTGGGAGAGAACTGTCTTGAAAAGATTGAAGGGTAGATCCACTGCTCAATTTTTATTGTCACTGTCAATTTCAGTATCTATCCCTTTCAGCAGTGCGAGACTTGTATATAGGCGGCCTGGATAGCGACTGGATAAGAGCCAAGCGCCTCTCCTCCGCTGCCTGGACTGCTTGTGGCCAATGGACGTTGACATGGAATGACATGGGCTGGATTCGTGGGATCCTAATGCGAATCCAGGAGGACTTGTGATGTTGTCATTTCTTCATGTTCACCGATTTCTACATGTTTTCCTTGCGGGCTGCGCCATCTTGACGCACTCAACAGGCCGACGTGCAGTTTCCAAAGATGAATCTTTTGCCATTCCATTCTGTAGATTGGCCACAGCTTGTTGCAGGATGGATTCACAACGAGGTGTGGCCCAATCAGCTGATCTTGCAATCATGCTCCGAGCCCCAGACGGCACCACAGCCAGGCCGCGGTTTTGTTGATCTGAAGGCCCCAAGTTGGGTGTGGTTTCAAACAAAGGGAACTAGAAACTCCCAAGCAACGGGCTCAGGTGGTTTTGAAAACACGCAGAGGAACATGAAGCTGTGAAGCCCTATGCAAGTGGTTCTTCCCCGACCTGAGGGCGACGCGACATGCTGAAGAAGTGGTGGAGCTTCAATTGCAGCACTCCAGGGCCTTGCAGGACAGAAACGGGAGCGGCTTTTGCCGCTAGGAGCTGAAAGCCATTTTGACATGATCTTTTATTTCGTAACAACACAATAAACCAACGAAACAACAACATAATACAAGAGATGGTTTTTAGGCCCAAACACGTTCCTTTTATTTCTCACCTGCCGGGTGAGGGTTGTTAGAATTTATCCTCACATCATCACAGCTGTCTACTCCCTTCCTTCGTTCTGTTGATGTTTCAAAAATCATACTCAGGGTCTTCACTCCCCACAATCATGCTTTTCAATATTTTTCAATTCCTTATTATTTTCGGTCCGTGTGCATCTCATTTGCTAGGAGATGCAAAGCCAGGCAGATGTCTTTCTTGGCCGTGCCAAGTTGGCCGAGGTGCTGTCAAACCCGGGTGTCCACATACTAAGCATTACAATTGCGATCTTTGTGAACCATAGGAGTTTTAGAACCTTTTAGAACTTTGACACGTTGTGAGCAACAGCAGTTTCAGCTTTTGAATGGACACTTTGGCACATGGCCCTCGTCTTCAGCGTGGGACAATTCTAGCGAGGATGCCTGTACTTTGCTTCAGCGGAAGCAGGCCCGGGTTGATGTGGTGTGAAAACTTGATGCTGGAGAGTGCTCTGTGGAAGACCATGTCTTCCAGAAAACAATGAAAGGGTTTACCAGTTTAGCAGAAATGTCAGTCACGGTCGTGAATCGTTGTTGTAGTTGAACTTGTGAGCTGTTATAGTGTGCAGCAGTGCAGTCAGTGTGGTGAATCTCAAGTCAAGCTTCTCGATACTGCCATAAGTGCAGAGCACAGCAAACCAGTGACATAGAGACACTGATTGCACCTCCAGCACTTTTCTGGAACACCGTTTCCGCTTGAGAGAAAATCAAAAGTTCAGATGAACATCATCTTGGTTGGCAGGGCGTGCGCATATACAAAATAGATACTTTGGTTGACAATCACTACACTTTGGATGTGGGAAACTTTGCATGCCCCGAAGGTGCGACTCGCCTCCATGCTGGATTCACTCTTCAAGGTGCTGGTTGATTTGCCACGCCTTCGAGTAGTCCTGCAAATGTTAGAGGTCAAGAGAGTATGTGGTATCTAGCTAGGGGTTGTTCTGCTTCGCAAGCTCACCTGCGCCTAGACCTACATTAATCTCATGAGGGATGTTCGTCTTTGTGCTCACAATACCACTGCTTTGAATGGACATGACATTCTCCACCAACCCTGTCTACTTGCTCTTTTCTCTGGGTCTTCAATCGCTCCGGCTGCATATGACTAGCGCCCTTTGTATGTAATCTCCTGCCCTCTTCTTACTGCATCGAAGAGGGATGAGGGTGGCCTTCCTGGCAGCAACACTATCCGACGCCACAGGTGCGCCAGGTGGCTTGGCCATTCTTCCTTTGGCGAAAGGCGAGGCGCAGGTTTTCTATATATTAAACTAAAAATGTAGGATTTCGCTTCGCTTCTTTCGCTTCTCTGCGTCAATGACTTGGGGACCAAACCTGCATGTTCTCGTGGACCAATCCACCCGAAATGCATCGAGTCTGTTGGGAGTTTGGGAACGCCAAATTGTTTCTGACTACATTGAGCTACGATGACTGCGAGGCTGTCTTCAGGGCAACTTGTGCGCAACAAAGCTCTTCTTTGGTTGAATGTCCAGAGCTTGGGACACGGAAGTAGTTATATTAACGTTCAACTTGGTAAAGGATGTGTTATGTCTGTGTGAGTTGAGTAGAAGCCGATTCCGCAAATTCATTGCCGTGCTGCTGGAGGTGCAAAGTGGCAGGCACTGCAGCGTGTGAGAAACCCAGCCTTTTTTTGCATGGCTTCCGAGCCGAAGGGCAGCCACGCCAGCAGAGCTGTCACTGTCATTGCTGTCCTTTAGAGAATGATGCCAGTTCATTACTCAGGAAGCAGCAAGACGGTACTTGTATAATGTAACTTAGATTCACCTGGATCTACTAGCGCACAAGTTGTACAATGTAACTTAGATTCACCTGGATCTACTAGCGCACAAGTTGCACAAGTTTTTTGAATCTACTTTGAACTCACATCCAAGGGGAGTTGAAGAGTCACCAATGTTAAGACTGAGGTCCAGTCCTTCCTAAGCATCAGTGAGCAGACCTTGCTCTGTTTTGCTGGCGGCTTAAATGTTGAAAGGTCTTGTTGAGTTGCTTTGGAGCAAACTG